AACAGATTCTTTCAAGCAAATAACTAGCAAATGAAAAGCTGGGCAGGGAGAAGGGGAGGCAGCGCTCACCTACCCAAACACATCGGTCTTCTAGACAGCCCTGAGCACCAGGAGCTCAAGGGGTGCATTCTTTTCAAGGCACAAAACAAACACCCGTAGGCACAGGTAGCAGGATGTCTGTTCCCAGTCAAGCTTAAAGAGCACATGAAAGCTCCAGGCATTTATTCAAATGTTAAAAAGCAAACCCAGCACACACACATTGTTACTAATCCTTGCAAGAAACCTCAAAGTCACAGGTAAGCAAAGGAAGGGTTTCAGCTTAGCTGCTCCACGGCAGAGTTTATATAGGCAAACGTTTGGGCTGGGTGCCCTGAGTGGCAAGGTCTCACTTGGGAAATGCCATCAGCCAGAGGTGACCATGCACGTGCCCCACCAGAGCAGAGACCTTCACACGCTCCCATCCCAGTACACAGGAACACCAGATATTCCCTTAGAGTAAGAAAAAAACCCCTTCCTTTATCCAAAATTCTTCATTGGTCCAAAATTCCTCTCCTGCCTCACCAAGACCGAGGCAACAGCAGGCCTGATCTGCTGCTGTTCAAAGCCAGGAGCATCACCACGTAGGAGGCTCTGAGTCAGTGCTGGGAGGAGAAGCAGCCTCACAAGGAGCATTTAAGGGCAGGGCTGTGGCTGCAGCACCCCTTCGTGCTGGTGACCCCCGTATGAAGATCCCTCAAAACACATTTCCACACTCCTCACATCTGCACCCGACCTCTCAGAGTGAGGAACATCCCACAGGTGGGGACGGGCTGCACCAGCACCCTGCAGCCTCGCTGGGCAGTGTCCTCCTGGAGTGAGCCCTTCCCTGCTCACAGGCTCTCCTCAAATGAAGGCTGTGTGCTGTGCACTGGATTAATCCTGTGTTGCTTTTACAGTGATTTGGGGTAAAGACAGGGCTAGAAGTGGGTTTAAGGATGCTGTGCTTTCGTGTCTGGAACACCCCTCAGACAGAAGATGAGTATTTTACCTACAAAACGACAGATTTGGAAGTTTTTGCAGCTTCAATAAAACTCTCAACAGGTCCAGAACATTTTTTTTTTTTCTGTGTTAATTTAATCATACAAATATTCATTTATACATTAAGGAAAAAGCTTCCTTTATTTTCACCCCCAATGTGCTATCGTAGGACTTCTCCCAGACTCAAGGAGGCCACACACCATCCTGTTCTACACATGCACTCCCCCCGCAGAGAACAGACAGGCTGCAGAACCACCCACGCACTCACACACGAAAAAAACCCCTGAAAACACACAACAGAAAGCCAGAGGTGGGACAGCGTGCATTCCCTAACCCACAGAGCCAGCTGCTCTCCTGCCCCTGGGGCTCTCACCGCCCGGTGTCCTCTGAATCCACCCCTCCTGGGAGGTGGGCAGCAGATTGCAGCTCCCCCCCCCGCAGGGCACTGCCAGTTTTGGGGTAGCCTCAGGGATATCGTGCCCTGGTTGCCACTGCTCAACTCGTCCTAGCAATCCAGCACTGCCCAAGTGGCTCATGCTGACACAGGGACCCATCCTGAGGCCACCAGAGATGTTCTGGGTTGGTTTTGCTTTTGGAAGGAT